TTTGTTCATTTTACTATACTAGTATATCCTTTTCAACTAACACAAGTGTATATGTCCCTGATTATACTTGCTGAAGGGTAAAACTGCTATATGCATGAAATCTACCTTTCAAAAAATTGCTGGCAGCCAAAGCTAGGAAGCCAGAGAGGGAGGAGAAAGGGAAAAAAGAGAAAAAGAAAAATTACCTCAAAGGTAGCAATAACTTTTTTTTTAGTTCATCACCATCATCTATAGGTCCTAGAACAGTACCAGATAAAGGAAATGGTTGTTAATGTTTTTCTGAGTGTGCACGCACAGGATGGGAAACTATCTTTTGGGCAAAAGCTTGGCTGACAGGTTATTCATGAGTTTTGAGCTCTGTTCCCAGGTAATGTTTATAAAGTTAGCACACCCAAACACGCTGTTATACTGAAGAAATAAATGCACTATTTCCTTTCAAAGGATTTCAGTCCTCTAAAATACAAATGGAATAACTTTAGAACTGAAGAAATGCAAAAGCTAACCATATAATGTTCCTACGTGAGGAAATAGATTCATGCTCCCAACAGGGGGAGGGTGCAACACAGACAACCTCCTTTAAATTAAGGAGTCCTGCCCTAGCTGGTTCGGCTCAGTGGATAGAACGACACTCTGCAGATTGAAGGGTCCGGGGTTGGATTCGGTGAAGGGCACATGCCCGGGTTGTGGGCTTGATCCCCAGTAGGAGGCACCTGATCAATGATTCTCTGTCATCATTGATATTTCTCTTTCCTTCTCCCTTCCTCTCTGAAATCAATAAAAATATTTTTTTACAAAAGCAGCCAATGTGTTCCTCTCTGAAATCAATAAAAATAATTTTTTACAAAAGCAGCATTAGCCTTAGCCAATTTAGCTCAGTGGATAGAGTGTCGGCCTGCAGACTGAAGGGTCTTAGGTTGGATTCCGGCCAAGGGCATATGCCTGGATTGTGGGCTGGATCCCCAGTACGGGGCGTGGAGGAGGCAGCTGATCAATGATTCTCATCATTGATATTTCTATCTCTCTCTCTCCTTCTCCCTTTCTCTCTGAAATCAATAAAAATATATTTTTAAAAAGCATTAAATTAAGGAGTCCTCACAGACGTATCAACTAGGACAAGGTATATTGTCCTACAATGTACACTGTGTCAATTATCTGATGTATAACGATGTTAGAATTGTGACGCAAGGCCCTAAAATCTTCATTTTCACAGGCCTTATCTGCTTCATGCGTTTTCCGATATTTTTCTGAAGATGTTCCACAGTCAGTTGTGCCCAGAGTTTTATTTCTTGGGTTTCCTCTGCCAGTAGGTGAGGCAGACAACCCTGCCACAATCACTGCCTTCAAAGGTCCAACAATTTCTCTCCTGTGTAAAGCCTCTACCACCTACTGAAGTCTTATTTCTGGAAAAGGATTTCCCATGGCCATTATATTTCTACCAACCAGGAGCTCACTCATGACATGTGACACATGAAGCAGCACGGATAAGGTCTATGGTGCCACGAAAGGCTCTCCCATTCTGTATGCACACTTGTCTCAGCAGACACTTGTAAGCCATATAATGAGCTAGAATGTTTTATTCAAGAGTCTTCCGCCTTGATTGCATCACAGTTTTCTCCTGTGTGGTTTTTGTGACATACAATATGACATAACTGGTCACTGAAGGTACTACCACATTCCCTGCGTTCATAAGGTTTCTCTGTGCCAATTCTGTTATCTGCGGAGGCTACGCCTCTGGCACCTGGCGGTCCCACAGTGGCCATGTTCCCATCCGCTAGGAACCCACTGATGTGTAATGAAATCTGACCTGCCGCTGAAGGCATCTGGACAGTCAATGCATCAACAGGGGTTTTCTCCTGAACTCTGTCACTCGAATGAGCTGAGCTGCGACTCTTTGAAAAAGGGTTTTCCAACTTGACGGAACCTACGCATTTCTCTCTGGTGTGCAACATTCCCTTATGGTACACCAGGCATGACAGGTGGGCGAAGGCTTTCCCACAATCAGAGCACCCGTAGGGTCTCTCTCCTGTATGAGTTCTTCGATGTCTATTGAGGCACGACTTATCTCTAAAAGCCTTTCCGCAGTCACTGCACGTATAGGGCTTCTCCCCTGTGTGAATTCTCCGATGGTTAATGAGACCGGACTTGTGTGAACAAGATTTGCCACATTCGGTACACACAAAGGGAGTCTTTCCGGTGTGAAATCTCTGATGTGATATAAGGCAAGTTTTCTGGCTGAAACCTTTTCCACACTCAGTGCATACATAGGGTTTCTCTCCAGTGTGAGTCCGTCGATGTATTAGGAGATTGCCCTTCTGGATGAAGCCTTTGCCACATTCGTTGCATATATAGGGTTTCTCTCCCGTGTGAGTTCGCTGATGTACGATGAGATTGCCCTTCTGGATGAAGCCTTTCCCACAGTCACTGCATATAAACGACTTCTCTCCTGTGTGAGTTTTCTGATGGGCATTGAGCTGTGATTTCCAGCGAAAGGTTTTGTCACATACTGTGCATTCGTAAGGTTTTTCTCCCGTGTGAGTTCTCTGATGTTCAATGAGCCTGGACTTTCTGGAAAAGGCTTTGTCACACAGACTGCATCCATGCGGCTTCTCTCCTGTGTGAACTCTCTGATGATTAATGAGCCGAGACTTCTTGATGAAGCCTTTTCCACATTCATCGCAAATGTAGGGTTTCTCTCCTGTGTGAGTTTTCTGATGAGCGAGTAGCCGTGATTTCTTGGGGAAGGCTTTGTCACATTCGGTGCACTCATACCGTCTCTCTCCTATATGAGTTTTCTGATGTTCAGTGAGCCTGGACTTCCTGGAGAAGGCCTTCCCACATATGCTGCACCCATGAGGTTTCTCTCCCGTATGAACTCTCTGGTGATCTATGAGGCGAGACTTCTTGATGAAGTCTTTCCCACATTCACTGCATACATGGGATCTATTTATCTTCTGAGTCTTTTGCGCCTTAAGGGATTGGGAGTTGGTGTTTACAGAATTAACACATTCAGGAAATTTTATTTCAGTATGATGTTGTTCATGCTTTGCATGTCCATTAATCTCAATTGGGTTCTTTACATCACAGCTTCTGTTCTGGTTGACCAAACTTATATTTGATTTCAATGCTTTCCCGTGCAAGTCAAATGTATCATGACTTTGCCTTAAAGAAAAATTACTTTTACTGCAAAAAACAATGTTTCCAAATGCGTTATGTTCATGGCACTGTTCTGTTCTCTTTAGACATCTTTGATTTTGCAAGTGCCTCTGTAAGTGACCATCGTTTTTCTTGGTTTCTAGGAAAGAAGAAAACAATGAACCTTTCCATGAGCTTGGTATAGAATAATACTATTTCACTAACAGCTCTGTGAAGACTGGCACTTTATTGATAATGCTGATATCAGCTTAAAGAAACTCCAAGCAAATATGTTTGTTATCACTTAGACAAGGTTAAAATACAATAACATAAAGAAAATAAAAGGTAAAAACAGTCATTACATAAATAAGGTATAACTCATTCCAAATGAGTAAATTCAGTCGTAGCTGGTTTGGCTCAGTGGATAGAGCGTTGGCCTGCAGGCCAAAGGGCCTCGGGTTTGATTCTGGTCAAGGGCGTGTACCTTGGTTGCAGGCTCCTCCCCAGCCTGGCCCCTAGTGCAGTGATGTGTCTCTCACATTGATATTTCTCTCTGTCTTTCCCTCTCTCTTCCATTCTTCCTTAAATAAAAGCTATGAAAAAATATCCTCAGGTGAGGTTAAAAAAAAACAAAAAACGGCACATGCCTGGGTTGCTGGCTCGATCCCCAGTAGGGAGCGTGCAGAAGGCAGCCAATCAATGATTCTCTCATCATTTATGTGTCTATCTCCCTCTCCCTTCCTCTCTGAAATCAATAAAAATAATGAGTAAATTGCCGAAACTGGTTTGGCTCAGTGGATAGAGCGTCGGCCTGCGGACTGAGAGGTCCCAGGTTCGATTCCGATCAAGGGCGTGTACCTGGGTTGCGGGCACATCCCCAGTAGGAGATGTGCAGGAGGCAGCTGATCGATGTTTCTCTCTCAGCAATGTTTCTAACTCTCTATCTCTCTCTCTTCCTCTCTGTAAAAGATCACTAAAATATATTTTAAGAAAATGAGTAAATATAAATTTGCTTGCTTTCTAATGACCTCATAAAGCATGCTGGGATAGTAAAATCAAATCAAATTACTATTAGCATTTGAGCACAGAAGGTAGATATTTGCTTTAAAATGATGTGGGACACATCCAGACATCCATAAATCCTTATTAAATGACTAGAGTCCTGGTGCATGAAATTCATGCATTTGCGGGCGGGGGTCCCTCAGCTTGACCCGAACGCTCTCGCAGTCCAGGAGCCCATGGGGAGTAGGCCCAAGCTGTCAGTCGGACATCCTTAGCTGCCGCGGAGGCGGGAGAGGCTCTGCTGCTGCTCCCCTGAGCCATGAGCCCGACTCAGGGCATCGAGCTGAGCGGCGTTCCCCTTGTGGGAGCACGCTGACCATCAGGGGGCAGTTCCTGCATTGAGCCTCTGCCCCCTAGTGGTCAGTGCACGTCATAGTGACCAGTTGTTCCTCCATTCGGTCGATTTGCATATTAGCCTTTTTATTATATAGGATGTATCAAGCCTTGTGCCTGCATATTAGCCTTTTATTATATAGGATGTCTATGTATCAAGCCTTGTGCTGGTCATGAGCATATAGAAGCAGTCCTTATTTTCACTGAGCATACGCTCTGGTTAGGGAAAAGTGAACCAGCGAGCAATGATCGAGAAGGCAGGTACAAACGGTGGAAAGTGGTTTGAGGGAGCAATGGAAAGCACAGTGGAAGAAATCAGGATATAATCTGAAGAGAGGAAAAAGATAAGGCTCACTCATAGTTTCAATATAGGGCAGTTAATACGTATGAGGAATCAGGTAATATTCCTGATTATTTGACCTGGGGCACTGAATAGGTGGGTAGTGCCTTTTCATTAAAAATTTTTTAAAATTGATTTTAGAGAGAGAGGGGGGAGAGAGAAACATTGATTGGCTGCCTCCCCCATACACCCCACCCAGGGATTGAACCCGCAACCCAGGCATGCACTCTGACCAGGAATTGAACCTGACACCCTTTGGTATGCGGCCGACACTCCAACCAACCAAACCAAACTGGCCAGGGCGGTGGGTAGTGCCTTTTCATGAGAAAAGAAATACAATGTGGGGAATTCAAGTGTGTACTTCCAAAGCACATCAACCTTTGGGTGGCTTTTAGATATCCGATACAGACACGAAGAACTCAACTGGATACAGAAATCTTGAGAAAGGTCTTAACTGGAGATAGCAACGTGGGAATCATTAGTTGTAAATGTTATATTAGGACAGAGGACTGAATGAGATCATGTTTGAGAAAGTGTGTAGACTGAAAGATGAAGGCATGGGATCAAGTTTATAGTTAATGTAACATTAAGAGTTTGGGTTTTACACTTCTAGGAATATATCTAAGGATAATTTAAATCAAACTTCCAAAGCTCATCATTCTACCCAATTACTAACAAAATCCACAACAGTGAGCCTGGAAATAAAAGTTCTATTACCAACAATAACCCCATTTATCCACGTTGACACTCCACCAGTTCCCCTACAAATACCTTCTAAAACTGGCCTTCAAGTGGCAGGTTTCAGGTCTATCTTTTGACAGTGCACATTTCTAACTTGATACCTTCATTTTTTGCCCTTCATCTTCATTCTGTCCTAGACATGCCTCCTGTCTATCACACGATCATTCCCCCATTCTATGTCACTGTAAACGGCTTCCCTAAATCTCTAAAGTATCCCGTCTTTACTGTTCATGTTGACTTGACACAGCCCTGAATTGTAGCAAAAGCTGAACGTCTACCTATTACATGCAGACTGTATTTGTTACTAAAATCTTTCTCCTAAAATGTATGGCTTTAGTTCTCATTCAGTTCAACCTCTTCTGGCACATTAGAGCTGTGGTTCACCAACGAGGCTCAAGAGGGCCTGTTTTCAGCATTATACATAGACTAGCCAGGCCATAATCACAACGCTAACAAAAACACTGTCAGAAGAAGAGGTCCTGCCTGGTACATGTATTGAGAAACCATGCATTGACCGGCCGGTGTGGCTCAGTGGTTGAGCATCAACCTCTAAACCTGGAGGTCAGTGTTCTATTCCGGTCAGGGTACATGCCCAGGTTGCAAACTCAATCCTCAGTCAAGGAGGCAGGAGGCAGCCAATCAATGATTCTCTCTCATCACTGATTTTTAAAAAAATATATTTTTATTGATTTCAGATAGAAAGGGAGAGGGAGAGAGAGAGAAACATCAATGATGAGAGAGAATCATTGATCGGCTGCCTCCTGCACACTACCTACTGGGGATTGAGCCTGCCACCCAGGCATGTGCCCTTGACCGGAATCGAACCCGGGACCCCTCAGTCTGCAGGCCGACACTCTATCCACTAAGCCAAACCAGCTAGGGCAATAAAAATATTTTTTAAAAAAAGATATTCGGAAGCTGACCACCCCTCACTCTATCCAGGTTGAAGACACGTGTTCTGCTTTGTACTACAAATAGGCTCCTAACTGGATTTCAAACTTCATCCTCTGCCTGCTGCCATCTACTTTCTACAAAGTAGCCACAGGGATCATTTTAAATATAAATTACGTCCTGTCACTTCTCTACTGAAACCTCTCAAATGTTTGTTCATCTCATTATTTATATATATACACATATATATTTTTAAATATATAAATTATTAATTTCAGAGAGGAAGGGAGAGGGAAAAAGAGATAGAAACATCAGTGATGAGAGAGAATCATTGATCGGCTGCCTCCTGCATGCCCCACACTGGGGATTGAGCCTGCAACCCAAGCATGTGCCCTGGCAGGGAATCGAACTGTAACCTCCTGGTTCATAGTTGGATGCTCAACCAGTGAGCCATGCCAGCCGAGACACCTTATTACTTTTAAAAATCAAGTTCCTGAAATGTCCTTGAAATGTCCTACATGACCTGTTAACTCCAAAATCTAGCTACCACCACATCACCCTTATCTCCATGTTATCTCCATCACGGTCCCTCTTGCCCACCCACTGCATTCACACAGGCTTCCTTGAGGTTCTTCCTAGGCCTTTGAATCTGCTATTTTGTCTACTTTGGAACGCAATTCACTCAACGGACCTGCTCACATCCCTCATGTAGTTGCTTAAAGGCATTTTACCGAAGAGGCATTCCCTGTCCTAGATGACTGAAGACCTAATAGATTCCTGGCTGCTAACAGCAGCTCCCAGCCCCCTCACACACTATTCTCTTTTGCTGTTTGATCTTCTCAGCACTTTTCACTTCAAGACATCTTATTTATATAGACTTATTTTGATGAATTTTATGTCTTCTTTTTTTAGAATAAAATCGCCAAGCATTATCTTGGAGGCGATGTTCATGGCTGTCAGCGCCAGGGTGTAACAGGATATCCAACAACATTTAGCGGAATCAAAAAGGATTTAAAGCAATGGACCAAGAAAAGATTCTCATGTATGGAAAATATTGTGGAGGCTCCTTTAAATATAGTTGACCCTGAGTTTAGTGGGGGCGGGTGGCAGGGAGCAAACTGTATAAGCAGATCACACCACATAATGAAGGTCATTGACAAAAGAGAAATGTCCATCTTATATGACTGGCATGGCTATATTAATTGGGATGTAATGTCACCAAAATATCATAAGGAAAAGGAAAGCTTTAAGAAAATGAATCCAGCCTTGCTGTTGCTGCTCAGTGGTTAGAGTGTCGGCCTGTGCACTGAAGGGTCTCAGGTTCAATTCTGATCAGGGGTTGCAGATTCCATCCGCGGCCCAGGTCAGGGAGCAAGCAGTAGGCAACCAATTGATGTGTCTCTCTCACATCAAGGTTTCTCTCTCTCTCCCCCTCCCCCTCCCTCCCTTTCACTTTCTCTAAAAGTAAATGGGAAAAATATCCTTGGGTTAGGATTAACAAAAGTAAGTAAATAAATAAATAAAATCCTAACCCCCAATCAAAGATAAGGGCAGGTGTTAGGAAGGGAAAACAACCTTATCCAACGGGGCGAGAAGGTGCTGTAGTCAGAAGACAGTGCTAACATCACACATCTCTCCTTGAACAGAGGCAATGGAAGGTGGAATTTCTGAGCAAGAAAATGAGGGAACAGGTACTGTTCCTGGGGGAAGAAAGATGGTGAGACTCAGAATTGTAAGAAGAGAGAGGGGGGTCAATCAAGACCTCGATGGAACAAACAGGGATCAAGTCCAAGAAGAGACCTGTTCCTCTAAGCACCTACAGAAAAAGAGCTCCTTTATGGGCGGTTCGTTGGGGCTCTGTGTACATGTCCTCAGACACCTCACACTGTGACACCTCTGAACGACTAGACCAGGACTTCCCCGGCCGCCTTCCTTGCTGGCTCTCTCACTCACCCGAGCAGATCCCACTGTGGAGTCCACCTTCTCTTGTCCATGGTTCCCCTCGTTCCAATCTAGACAGTGTGTCTGGCTTGCTGGCTGGATACCCTGTTCATGGGAAGTGACAGAAGAGACAGGCTCTTTGACACGGGCTTTGGTGTGCGAACACGGAAGAATGTTGTACCTCAGGAACTACGCAGCCTGCAGGTCAGCAAAGGAAAGGCTGTTCTCTGGACTAGGGCACATTATACCCTCTAACCTGGACCAGAGAGGGGACTGAGACTCATCCACTACTTCAGAGCATCACAGACACTCCAGACCTTTCAGAAGCCATGAAAGGCCACCCTCTGAGTGACACAGGGGAGCTGTCCTCACCCAGTGACACCAGGTGGCTGTAGGTCTCCAACATCACGTCCCTGTATATGTCCTTCTGCTCGGGGCCCAGGAGCTGCCACTCCTCCCAGGTGAAGTCCACGGCTACATCCTCCTGTGTGAGTGATTCCTGTAATAACAGGTCCTGTTTAATAGGAGTGTTTCTCTTGTTATTGAAAGGGAAGGAATGTGAAGAAAGTTGTTCTGCTCATTCTTACCATATGGGCTACATCTACATTAAGTGCTTTGTTTTTTTAAAAATATATTTTTATTGATTTCGGAGAGGAAGGGAGAGATAGGACAATCAA